TTTGATCAAATGCTAACCCAACTGTTTTTAATATTCTTTTTTGTTTCTGCATTTTTTATTTTTTTCCTACTTGCTTTGATTCTGTTTTATCTTCCTGTATTTTAATCATGTAAAGCACTTTGCATTGTCTTTGTACTGAATTGTGCTATACAAATAAATTTGCCTTGCCTTGCCTATAGTTTAATGTATGATTTACATTTTAAGTGGCTTATTATAATCCCCTCTGTCCTTATGGTCCCTCTTTAGGTGTATCAGTGTGTCTGCGGTACATCACAGGCACTCAGAGCAACAAGATTTTCACCCTCAGTCCATCTAGCTCCCGTCTGAGCCTGAACATCAATGGACCATTGATATATCAGCTGTCTTTGAACTACCAAAGCATGTACCTACTGCCGAACATCAAAATCTGGCCTGATATGAAGTCCAACATTTGGACTAACATCTGCATCACTCTGGACACAGTAAAGGGTGTGGCTCAGATGTTCAGAGACTCGGAAATGAGCAGCAGGAAACTGATAAATAATCAGGTGAGGGCAGATTATTCACAAAGATTATTAAAGAAATCCATATATATGATTTAATATCATGTAGAACCACTTTTTGGAACATTAAGTCAAGGTCCCTCTAAATGAAACCCTCAGCATTACATAATTCAATCAATAATTGTTAAATAAATACATAGTTTGATAGTATATAATTTGATATAGTTTGACAAATTATTTAATATGACAATGAAATTGTGAAATTAATGAATGGAAGTAAACTTTTCAGCTCATTATAAAATATATTTCATAATAATGAAAGAAATTTAAAAGGTTTGACAATTTATCCCATTAACATACCGTAGATTATTTTTGAGGCATTTTTATCAAGCAGTAGTCCTGTGTGTTATGATTACAGGAATGTAATGAAATAAATGTAAAATATTACACATAAGTATGTTATTTATCATTATCTATAAATTGAACGTCCCAATCTTTATGTACGGAGCCCCTCTGATGACATGGTCAAAAAAAATGTTTAATTGTGGCCACAAAGTAGTATTTCGTG